AAAAAAAAAAAAAAAAAAAAGACCAATGCCTATAGTTCTCAAAGAAAAATCCCCTCAAATACATACACTGCAGATAACTAGCAGATTTCAACTGTTCCCCAGAAATTGTGATTTGCTGGCAATGTCCCCTTGCAAGGGAAGAAAACCTGCTCAGACTGCATTCTGTCTGAACCAGCAGTATCTCCCACTACCTCAAAGAATGGTTCCCAAACAAAATTTCACTTAAATTCAGATAAATATAAAATGAAACCTAGCAGCTTAGAGAACATAATGAGTTGTATCAGAGTACACATATACATCTATACCATTAATTGCTAATATACTGGACCTCCACAGAGTGATTCTAATTATGAGATTAAAAAATATTGTTGTGCATTCAAGCAGTATTATAGCTAAGGAGCAGCTTATTTTTGTGTATTTACAGAAAGTATTTACATAAAAAATCATTTCTACAAAAACTCTTAGAAAAAATTACTAGATAGGATATGAAGTAACAAAACAGAAGTAAATAAAAAGTTAGAAAGACTTTAGTAATATACAATAAACAAGATTAGAGGCAAGCCTGAAATTCTGGTATTTGAGGCTGAGGCAGGAAGATCACAAATTTAATCTCAGCCTGGGCAATTTATGTTTTGTTTTTTTTTCCTTAGTACCAGGGATCAAACTCAGGACCTCGTGCTTGCCAGATAGGCACTTATGCCAGCTATCTCCCCAGCCCTAGCCTGTGCAATTTAATGATTTGGTGAGACTGCTTCAAGACAAAATTTAAAAAAGAACCAAGGATGTAGCTTGGTACAAGAACCATGAGTTCAATCTCCAGTACCAAAAAAAGTAGGCAAAACTTATTAAAGATAATAATAAATAAATAAATAAAGAGGCTTCAGGTAAGCTTACTGTACCAGTAAGATTCAGCAGGAGACTGAAACATAAGGCTGTAAAACAGATGATAAGTGGAATTACTGCCTATAGTATAGAGACCTGGACTATAGCCTACCGTAAAAATTGGTTGGCTGACATGGACAAGTATGGATACTCAGAAAAGAAGCTGAAAGAGAAGGAAAGGCTGAAGATGTTAATACAAAGAGGAAAAAACCTGAATTTCAGTAAATGAAATGTTATCAGGAAAAATCAAGATCTTTAGCAATGGTGCTGTGGACACAAAGAGCTTTCTCTGTCGGCATGTGAGCCAAGTCACCCCAGACCTTGAAAATGGACAGGTGAAATATTTTCCAAATCTAAAAATGCATTTAGAAAACTCTGTATTTGTAGATAATACTACAAGCCAACAGGAAATCTACAAAGAAACTGTCTCACATCGTAGCAGCTGCAAAGGGGAATTCTTTTTTTTTTTTTTTAATTATTTATTTATTGTGTGTGTGTGTGGCCAGCTCAGCCCACCAGGGGGCGGGGCTGGCTGGCATGTGGTGCTGGGGGATCGAACCGCGGTCCCTGTGCTTTGCCAAGCTTGTTTCAAGTAGGTGCTTTAGACCACTGAGCCATCTCTCCAGCCCCTGCAAAGGGGAATTCTGACAAATTATTAGCATGCACACAAGAGCAAAGATCATGTTAACTATGCAAAAACACAACAAACACAAACTTATACTTTTGATTAAAAGGATGTTTATAGTATTGAAAGCTTTGTTACTATATTTTTAAGATAAAAGATGTTAATTTTTAAGTTTTTTTTAAAACACCTCAGCATTCAGGAGTAATTGCAGCATTGGCACTCTATGATCAGTAAGTGGGTTCTGAGTTCCAGTTTTAGCACTTAGTCTCTAAAAGGTCTGCCATCACTGTCACACAGTATGTCTGGGGCATACTATAAGACAGTCAGTGATATCTCCTACCCTCTCCATAAGAACAAGTGAAAAGCTCTGGGAAAAGGCCCACATTCTAGAATTTTGGTCCTTACCACAGTGCCGTAGGGAATGGAGCTCCCAGGATGCCCATTTCAATTGGTTCTCCACAGCATCAAGCTCAGAGTTTGGTAATCCCTGAGCTTCTTCTTGAGATACAATCTCTTCTACTAGCACTTCCCGTTTCCGTCGAGGGAGAGAAACCTGCAAATAATTAAGATTTTGGTTCAGCTGAGAAAGCACACAAGAGAAACCATATGGAGAGACCTAGACAGCAAATCAGTACACATAATGGAGAGTGGTTGGGGAATGGGGGAGAAAGCATAAATATGAAGAATTCTAACCTAGTTGGGTGGAAATCAATACAGCAGTTCTACCTACAGCTATATCAGTGGTTCTGATGCAATAAAGTCTGACACAAGCAGACTCACCGGCTGCCCAGGGTCATCCAGTTCACTCTCCAAATCTTCCAGCACTGTCACGGCTTCCTCTCCATTTTCTGGATGATGTTCTCGGACCCAAGTCTGCAGCTCCTTGGGTAGGATGGCAACAAACTGTTCTAACACTACCAGCTCCAAGATTTGTTCCTTTGTGTGTGTCTCTGGCCTGAGCCACAGACGGCAAAGTTCTCGAAGTTGGCTCACAGCCTCACGGGGCCCTGGTGAATCCTGGTATCCAAACTGCCTGAATCGCTGTCGGAAAACCTCTGGGTCGGGGAGATGGTTCCATGTGATACTTGATCCCTCTTCACCATCAGGATCCTCCTCCAACTTTACTCTCAATATTTTTTCCTCTTCATCTGGAGTTGGGATAATAAGTATTGAATCTTCTTCCACTGACTGTGCAGACATCCTGATTTACACTTCAGGAAAAGACAAGGCAGACTGTAAGCCTCAGGGAAACACCCTGTTTTTGTTCCTTACAGGTACTCCTGAGGGGAAAAAAAAAAACAAAAAACAAAAAACAAAGCATTAGTGCTTAAATATCCTTCCTAAAACTATAGATTCAAATTGATGAGGGAAAACATATTTGTTCTGGGGCTGGGGAGATGGCTCAGTGGAATAAGCGCTTCCCTGGCAAGTGCAAGGGCCTGAGTTCAATCCCCGGTTCCGCAAAAAAACAAACAAACAAACAAAAAAAAAAAACATATTTGTTCTGTTTACTGGATTAAAAATTCTAGGCAATAAGATAAAACAGAATTGGCAAGCTATAGTTCATAGCCAAATCTAGCCAGCTGCTTACTTTTGCGCAAAGTTGTAACAAAAATAATATATAAATTATAAAGCAGTTAACAATTTTTGACATGTGAACATGAAATTAAAATGTCTGTGTCCATAAACTGTTCAGTTCACTCACAGTTCATGCTACAATGGCAATGTTAGCAGGGTCAAATAGTTTCAACCGAAATCATATTTCAAACTTGATATTTACTATCTGGCTCTTTATAGAAAAAGTCTGTAATCTATGACCTACAAAGTCTACAAATTCTACTTCAATAATCAAAAGAATCCAAGTAAGAACTATACCTTAGTGTTTTCAAATGTACTTAACCCTGGAACACATTATTTATAATTTGGGACTGGTGCTCCTCTGAGATGCTTAAGTCAACTAGTAAGTAAATGCCTCTTTAAAGAAACAATAGTGTGTATTTAACCAAGGACCTTGCACATATGCTGTACCACTGAGCTCCATTCCTAGCTCTAGATGCTTTTTTATTACCTGCTTTAGAATTTTTTCCTCATAAAATTTTTGAAAAGTTGGGCAGGGTGGCACATGCCTTTAGTTCCAACTACTTGGGAAGCTGAAGCAGGAAGATATTGCCTACTGCACTACAGGACTTGAGTTCAATCTGTAGGATTTTTTTAAAAAATTAAATATTGAAATGTTTAAGAACTCCTGAGACAGTGCTAGAGAGATAGCTCAGCAGTCTAAGCACCTACCTGACAAGTGCAAGGACCAGGGTTTGATACCTGGTATTGCAGGCATGCCATGCAACAGTGAAGGCCACCAAAACTGGGCGTGGTGGTGCATGCCTGTAATCCCAGCACTGAGGAGGCTGAGACAGAAGGACCACTATGAGTTTGAGCCATATAGTGAGGCCCTGCACCAAATAAATAGTTTTAAAAAAAAAAAAAAATAACTCTTGAGACAAAGTATGAAGAAAAATGTTTACTTGCACAATAACAGATCACATAATATTGCTAAAAAGTAAAATATTCTGCATAATAATATGCAAATACTGTGACCCATCACAATATAAACTTAAAAGTTATGACATTAATGACAACATTTACTCTATGAAGAAAAATTACTCTCAGGCTGCAGGGATAACTCAGTGGTCTAAGTGCCTGCTTAGGCAAGAACAGGGACTGGGGTTCGATCCCTGACACCACATGCTGTGCGGGCCCCATCCCTGGGCGCACTGATCCGGCCACTGAGATCCAGCATGGTGGCACACGGCTGTAATCCTAGTGCTGGGCGGGCTTAAAAACAGTAGGATCACTATGAGTCCAAGCTGCATAGTGAGACCAAATACATAAAACTTTTTTTTTTTAAAGGTACTCTTACAACCATTCTAACTTCTTGCAGTAGCCCAGAATTGGAAGACATAACTTTTTCCAGCTTTACTTGAATGGAATCTTTGTGCTATTTTCCTACCCTTTCACTAGTATTTACATAGTCATACCATAAGTACTAAGAATAATCCTAGCAAATACTCTAACTTACTCTGGGTCCAGAGAACCCAAAAAGGACCAATTGAAGATAATTTACTGTAACCAGTCAAGATGAAGATTAGGAATCACAAATCACATCTGACAGCTAATATATAGTGGTTTAATTAAATACTCTGGAGTGTGGTGGCCTTACAAATAGTATCTATCCCTACTGTACCAAATGGCTCAAGAATTTCTATGTAGGATCTTCTTATGCTACATTGCACACTCTTCATTGAACGTGGAATGCCAGGAAGGCCCCAAGATGTGTGGATGCCCGAGGTGATTTCCCGCCTCGTTTCTGTACAGTACTGCTGTGTCCCCTGCCTCTACCCTGACGGTCAGCCCTTCTCTCCAGCGTTCTGGGTAGCTGACTTCGGATGACCACAGGCCACCCTCCCACACAGTGTCTAAACTACAGCATTTCCGTCGGGGGCCGCTCTGGACTACAAGTCCCGGCAGCCTCTGCGCAAACACCCGCCTAGACCCCGCCTCCCACCAAGATGCCTCCCAGAACCCTTCGCGAGATGACAGGGCCTCAAAATAGAACAAAACCGGCTGGTGGGGGAGGGGGAGGCGAGGGTCGCAGCGGACAGAAAGATGAAAAACACTCGGCTGATGCTAAAGACTCGAGCAGGCCTCCCGCTGACCCCTTCCTGCCCCACAGCTACAGGGCGCGAAGACTGCGGCCTTTCCTCTGTGCCGCCCAGGAAGCCAAGAAAGGACCCCGCCAAGCTTCCTCGCCAACTCCTGTTGAGGAGTCCGAAAACCCAAGCCCCGAGTCCCCCTCTTCCTCCGGCCCTTCCCCCAATTCCGGCGCAAACCTCTGGCTCAGGAGGCAGCAGCTTCGCTGTCCAAGACAGACGCAGAATCGCCGCTCACAAGCCGCTTCCCAGAAGCCCCCAGCGAGGACTACTTCCGGTCTGCATGCCCGAGGAGGCGGAGAGAGGTGAAGCCCACGTTGCCATGGGGATGCGCTCCGCGCGGGGGAGGGGCGGCCTGATGACAATGCCCACATTGAGGCTGCGCTTGGCCCCGCGCCTCTATGTTTGAATAGCCCTGCGTTCACTGCAGTTGAAAAGAGTGAAAGCTGTCATTGGGATAGTCTGTACATTTCTCCAACCCTTTCAGATGCACTGTCTCGTGATCCAATACTCCTCTGAAAATAATAATAAAAGTATTTATGAAATCTTACTATATTGTGCCAGGCACATTACAGTACTTTCAAAATCTTATAATACAGGAATTTTAATTTTGGCCATTCACAGCTGAGATCATTGAGGCACAATAAAATAAATAACTTCCCAAGAGCTCAGAACAATCACATGGAAAGTAAGTTTCGAAACCAAGACATGGTTCAGACCTTTGACTCTTACTTGCTCCCTGCAGCGATAGCATAGAGTTTTATTGTGACCAATAGACCAGAGAAACAAGATGAGGCATGGTAAGTTTTCATAATGATGTTACAGTGAATTTTCATAATACGTCATCGTCTAACTTCAGGCTTTGCTTTTTAGACCATAAAGCGACTACAGACGTAATCGTTTAAAAATGTAAATCAGAGCACTTCATTCCTGTAACTGAGGGCCTCTAATGGGTCCCAGCTACCTTATGTATGACCTAAAAATTCTTTACACGGACCTGCCAGGTCCCCTCTGATCATGGCTCTTAGGCTCATTGTGGCATAACACATTTGATTTCGCTGCTGGCTTTTCTTCTTGGAAGCCTATTCATTCTTTACAACAGTACTGGAAGAGATTTCATTCATTTACCTGTTTTTTATTTTGTTTTGCCTGTAAGTCCCCAAATGATGGGGACTTTGTCCTGTTCACCACATATCTCCATCTAGTCCCCGGATGCTGACTGCTTGGTGTATATATATGTAACTAAGTTTTTGTTGAATAAGTAAATGAATTGTGGGCTGATCACACTGCTGTCCTTGCTAGATCACATGACAGGCATCAGAAAGCATGTGTGCACAAAAGAGCCTTGTTATGTAAGGGCTTTCCACTGAGCAGTGTTAAGTCCAGCCTTCCAGAAGCATTTCGAGATTCTCCCTTTAGCTGTTTCATTCAGGAAAGTACCCTCTGCAAACTGCCTCCAGCCTTTGTTGAATTAATGAGCAAACACGTGAGAAGCTGGTGCTATAGCACTACTTTTTCCTCCAACCAGATCTTCTCTTCCTATCACTTCTGCTAATGCTTTTCTTTCTTCGTTGTAGGAAACTAGACTTTTCACCCTCCTACTTGGCTATTGCCAAGATCCAACTTGGCTGCTCTTTCTACCCTTGCCCTCCAGAAAGCTAACTGAGGCAATGTTGCTCTGTGTGTGTGTGTGTGTGTGTGTGTGTGTGTGCCTGTGCACATGGGCACACTCGTGCATTTTCCAGCATTGTATGTCCAACCCAGGCTTCATGTATGCTAGGAAGTGCACTACCACTAAACTGCATTCCCAGCCCCTTACTAAGAGTTTTTCATGTAATTAATGTTGAAAAATAAAAATGATAAACATAAAAAGTGCTATAATAGAGAAGAACACAATACCACCAAGGGCATTTACATGAGGTTCTGAGAGGGAAGACAGGCATCCTGAGAAGGAGGAAGCAGAAGAAATTTTCCCACTGGAAGGAAAGCACAGATCTTCACATTTGGTGTTATCACCTATCGCCCAAGAGAGCCATTTCTAGGTTTTTCTCTAACCGTTATTTTGGAAGTCTCCCTGTGGGCACTTTTTATAGTTAAAAATTCTATTTTAGCTAACACATACCCTGTACCAGGAGTCTCTGGATTATAAGTGATTAAAAACTTAACCATGGGCAGTATTGTTAACTTCCTGAGTAAAACGCCCCTCCCATATTTCTGACACACCATGGCTTTTTTGTATTTATCAGGGAAGGAAACAATGCTCCTGGGCATAAGGAAATAATTGTGGTTGACATAAGGTATACAATAACCATTTTGTCTACTCCTTTTGCCTCTCTGGCTAGGAATGGTCATATGATTCAATCCTGGTCCTTAGATTCGAGAAAAAATAGTCATTTTAAAAAAATGTATCTGTTGTCTAATTAGGTTCTTAGAAAGAAATTTAGAACACTAATTTATGAGGATAAATTCCATTTGTTAGAGCAAAAACTGATCACAGGTAGCCCTGGAGCTGAGGAACAGCTTTGATTTTTGCTAAAATCTGTGAGTCCACCGCTTTTTGATCCACCTTGCGCTGTTCTGAAATCTGGCATCTCCTTTTCAGTGTTGAAGATCTCACCCTCCTGGTGGTGTCTGGGTTTCCGCAGCTTCTTTTTCTTGAAGTAAGCATCAGTGAAATGTTTGGGGATTTTCACTTTGCTTATATCGATTTTTGTAGAGGTGGCAATGATAAATTTCTGGTGTGTTCTTCATAGAGGAACATGATTAAGGCTAAGAGGCCCAGTCACAAGCAGCAAGCCACTGGCCAACTGCTTTAGAAAGACCACTCTCTTGCCTCTGTGATGCCGGTGAGGATGATCAAGATGGTGCCAGGAATGATGCTAGCTCGAAGTTTCCTCACATGCTGATTGAAGGCTTTCTTGCCTTGGCTCCAGAGCTTTCGGAGCACATCTTCAGTAGGGAAGTATCTAGGCATTTTTTGAAGCTTAACCACCGGCTACCTCCATTTTTGTCCCCACTGACTGGTTTTGTGATCGGAGCAAGAACTTTCTCTTTTTTCTTCTCAACCCTTGATTTAGCAGCTGTGTACTTTCTCTTGCACAAAGCCTTTCTGGAATACATAGCAGATCGGGGGTATCTACCAATTCCTCTAACCAGGACAGGATTTCAGCTGCAGTGGGGATGCTCCTTCTGAGACTTTTTTTGCCTTCATCTTACCCTTTTTACCAGTACCACTGGAGAAGCCTTCTTGGCTTCAGACTTCTTCTCTTGTGTCGGGCTTCTCAGTTCTTTTCACTCGTCATCTTGCAAGATGGAAAAGAGAACTAAATTTTCAGTCATACCTTTGTATTTTATTTATTTATGTGTGTGTGTGTGTGTGTGTGTGTGTGGGGCCAGCTCAGCCCACCAGGGGGCGGGCTGGCTGGCATGTGGTGCTGGGGGATTGAACTGCGGTCCCTGTGCTTTGCCAAGCTTGTTCTAAGTAGGTGCTTTAGACCACTGAGCCATCTCACCAGCCCCTCAGTCATACCTTTTTTAAAAAAAGTATTTAGGTTGTCAAATTTGTTCACAATAGGCACAAAATTATTCATAATATTTCCTTAACGTTTTCAATGCCTATAGGTTATTTATTTATTTATTTATTTTGGTGTGGTACTGGGGATTGAACTCAGGACCCTGTGCTGGCCAGGCAGGTGCTTATTCTACTGAACTACCTCCCCATCCCCTATAGGCTCTTTATTGCTGTCTCCTGTCTTATTTTTCTTTCTTTTCCTTTGTTTTAGGTTTATTTAAGGATGATTTTTTTTTTTTTTTTTTTTTTT